AACAATGAAGATTGACAGTCAAAACCAGTATTGTGAGAAAGCCCTTAATTTCTTGTTATTTGTGTATGTCAGCTGTAAAGAGGATTTAAACGTAAAATAATATCCTTCGGCTACTAACTGTTAAAACTTGATATTAATATAGTTGTGAAATTCGTGTAGCCTATTAAAGTTGGGTTAGTTCGAGTAAAATAGTTGGGAAATTCAGTGTCTCCCCCAAAATATTTTTTTTCGTGCGATGACCCTGACTGTAGGTAAAATTATCGGGTGGAAAGAGTGAACCTCCCCAGGCACCAGATACCCCTCCCCTCCCCCACCCGCCCCTACACCACGCGTCTTCGCAAAGTAAGCAAGGCAGAATGTTTTTGTTTGTTATCAGGAACTGTCATCACTTTCAGTATGCTCAATGCTCAGTTTTAGCACAGACAAGGGAAATTTCCTTAGTCAATGGTTTTAGTTACCATACGCTTTCTAAACAAATCTGTTATTAAGCTTTGCTATGATGATGCTTTCCTCTTAGACATTGTGAACAGAACAACAGAACACATCATCACTGAACAACAAGTAACACACAGGCGACAAGCACAGGGAAACGCGCCAGACCCAGAACAGACTGAGCGGGAACTTAACTAAACTTACAGTTACAGCGCATGAGCGGCAGTGTTGCCAACCTAATATGATGACTTCCCACGTAATTGCCACTGGAAATCCCCGATTTTATTCGCAAAGATTATGAAACTACCCGCAACAATTCCTGATCCACCCTCTGAGAACAATGTTCATTATGGAGTAGGTTATTAAGTTTTTTTTTTTTTTTTGCCTTTGGGGGGGGGTTCTATCCCCCTCATCCCCCCCCGTAGTTACGCCACTGGGTTCTTGCGTTATTGGGTAACAGACAGACATACAAACACACACCATCTCATTTTTAAATATTAGTATAGATTACTGTAACAACGTTATTACCATTTCTAGATTTTTGAATTATAATTTATATGAGCTCAATAATTGAACCCAAGCAACTTTGAGAGGATGATGTAAGGATCTTATTATTCAAGAAATATGTGTAAAGGGTGTATAAAAAACAGCTCACACTCGGTGGCACAGATCATCTCACCCGTAGCTCAACTAGCATATACTATTTTACCTATACAGTAAATAATAATAAATAGTAAATATTAAATAGTAAACAGTAAATAATAATATAGTAAATAATCCACCTTTAAGGGTAGATAGGGGGTAACTGAAAATGTTCATTTTAACGGTTTGAATTAGTAGAATACAATGCTAAAGTTTAAACTCAAACGGATAACCAAGTCAAAGATGGCAGCCATTCAAAGACATATGTTTTATTAAATTGCCAAAATAATCAAATTATATAAGAATCAGTTACACTTAAGACACCTGCACACATAAGAATAGTTTTACATACAATTAAAAATAAATTTTTATTGCTTACAAATAACACCATAAGTGCCAGATGAAAAAAAGCTTACTCTGTTTCGATATTTTGCTAAAATAAACTGTAGTTTGTTCAAAAGATTTTGTGTTAGTTAAAATATGAATTTTTAAAAACGACTTCAAGCATTTTTCCCCTTCATAAACCTTTATTTTGTTCAAGTAAATAGAATGAATGTATGGTTTTATTTAATGTTATATGATTCTTCAAACAGCTTATAAATGCAGATTACTTTCAACATTTAATACACTTAAATGTCGAAGGTATATCTCCATTATGAATCAATAAATTTCTCCTTATTTCAAATTTGGTTTCAAAGGATTTTCCAAATGAAGTGCACTTACTTAAGTCTCTCTCTTGAATGAATCCTTGCAATATTTGTCTTCATAACGGTGTTAGACGCAAAGAATTGTCCACGTGTAGTGCACTTGTAAGGTATCTTTTATGTGTGAACCAATGAATGTCTCTTCATTTTGCTCTTAGTCAAGAAGGAATTTCCACATGTAGAACACTTATAAGGTCTCTCTGCTGTATGAACCATTGCATGGTTCTTAAAGTAGCCTTTTGATGCAAAGGATTTTCCACATGTAGTGCAAGTATGAGGTCTCTCTCCTGTATGAACTAATGCATGTGTCTTCAAGTAGCCTTTTGATTCAACCTTAATTCTGTTTAAGTTTAGTTTTTAGTTCATTTAAATGACTAGCTGTTGTACCCGTGCTTTGCAACGGGAAGAGGACACAAAATAAAAACATTTTAATCTTTACATTTGTTGCATATAATAGTTACACATCCACCAACGCTTTTAGAAACAAAATTCAACTTTTATAGCCTTAATAGAAACGTTTAAGTTATATGACTTTTAAATCTGGTAAGTAGTGGAGACCACCATTTTGGTTTTGATTAATTTTAAATCTTGTGTAGGCTGACATGAGAAAAACTTACCAAATCTTAGAATAAAACATTGACATACATGATTTACCTTCGTCTTACATATCTTTTAATTTATTATTGACATTATAACATTTTAATTTTGAAGTTGCAAAAATACTAACTATTAAATTTAAATGAAAATTTTTTTTAATTTCACTCTTCTTTATCTTTATATTAAATCACAAATCCTTCCATCTTCAGTTTCTTCACTCACAATAAATCATTAGCAAAACTAAGTCAGCTGTTATAAACTTTAGAAATATTGCTGTGCCTTATCAATACAGTTTTTTGAAATATTAAAGAAACTATATCTATAGGTACTATAAAAAATTTTAAACAAATAATTTAGCATTAAAGACAGCAGACAAAACTAATATGATTATCAAAGCATCAAGGACTAAAAAATGTAATAGCAAATACAGTACCTATATGCTTCATTGCATCTCTGATTCTACTCTACAAAAATATCAACAAACAACTTAATATACAAACTCGTTTTTTTAATCAGTTCCATCGTCCATTGCCTTTACATTTTCACACTTACCATTAAGTAAACATAGTAACAGATATTTAATTGATTTTAGAAACAAAAGAACACTATGTACTGCTTAGTTTTATGATAGTTTCCTTGGTTTGATTTAATCAGTGGTGTGGCAAAACACAAATAATAAATGTATCAAATAAAGTAAATGTGAACTGAAAGCTATGTTAAGATAAAATAAGAGTATTTTGTATTAGCATTTGATAATTAAATATAGTTACATACAACAGATTTTAGAAAACAAAAATCAACGTACAATTTAGTTATTGATGATATTCTTTAGTTTAATTTAAGCATAGGTTTAGCAAAACACAATAACTTAATTTACCTTAATATACACATAAAAAACAATGTGATGTGCAAGTTATGTTAAGTTAATCCAACACATGTTAAGCAGTAAGAATTTACTTAAAGTAGCTTACAAAATTCATATAAAACATCTATACTTTGTAATTTTAATACTGTTTCCATGAAAACATACCAATAACATTATTTTCATAACTTAGACGCTTTAAAAAATCCAAAGCAGAGCCGGAGTTGATACAGCAACGGTTATAGAATCTTTTTTTCTCTATAATCATTGACATAGTTTTAGAATAAATAATCCATGATAAAAGGTTAGATTAAAATAAACCTATCTCATAGTTATGGAAAATATTATATTTAATTTCTTTGTATCAGCTGTCTGAAATTGTGAAATATGCAGTTAAGCAGTTCTTCTTGTTTACATTTAAATGTCAAAGCAAATGTAAACAAACATTGTTAGTGTTCTCATCACAGCCATGGAGACCAATCAATATTTACTTTTAAAATGTTCACCTCAGAACTTGTAAAGCCAAAGAAGCAAAGCCTACGGCCAGTATCGAAATGTGAATAGTCCTATAATGGTCCTTGGTATGGTAGCTATTTTTGTATAATTTAAGCCCAGTTGGTTCAGTAGTTTTTGCACCTATTAGTAATACACATACAGACAGACACCATTAGATTTTTATATAATAGTATAGATTACTGTATATTGAATGAATGCATAGTTTCATTAAATGTTATATTATTCTTCAAACAGCTTATAAATGCAGTTTATTTTCAACATGCAATACACTTAAATGTTAAAGGTATATCTCCATTATGAATCAATAAATTTCTCCTTATTTTAAATTTGGTTTCAAAGGATTTTCCAAATGAAGTGCACTTATATGAACGAACTAATACATGTGTCTTCAATTTGTCTTTTGATGGAAAGGATTTTCCGCATGTAGTGCAATTATAGGGTCCCTCTCCTGTATAATTCAATGAATGTCTCTTCAATTTGTCTTTTGATGCAAAGGACTTTCCACATGTAGTGCACTTGTAAGGTCTCTCTTGTATGAACCAATGAATTTCTCTTCATTTTGCTCTTAGAGACGAAGGATGTTTCACATGTAGTGCACTTATAAGGTCTCTCAACTATATGAACCATAGCATGTGTCTTCAAGTAGCCTTTTGATGTAAAGGATTTTCCACATGTAGTGCACTTATACCACCTCTATCCTGTATGAACCAATAAATGTCTCTTCATCTCACGTTTCGCTTTAAAGGACTTTCCACATTTATAACAAGTATGAGGTCTCTCTCCTGTATGAACCAATGAATGTTTCTTCAAGTTATATTTATATATAAAGGATTTTCCGCATGTAGTGCAATTATAGGGCCTCTCTCCTGTATGATTCAATGAATGTCTCTTCAATATGTCTTTTAATGCAAAGGATTTCCCACATGTAGTGCACTTATAGGGCCTCTCTCCTGTATGAACCAATAAATGTCTCTTCATTTGACTCTTGTGCACAAAGGATTTTTCACATGTAGTGCACTTATAAGGTCTCTCTCCTGTATGAAACAATGCATGCATCTTCAAGTTGCGGTTTGATGCTGTAATGAGAGTAAGAACGAATGAAAAAGAACTTTTATTACCTTTAGAAAGGTTTTTAATAACTTGAACAATACTACATTGAATTATAATGGATTTGTTTACAAACACAACAAAACAATAATAAAGAATTGAAGACACATGTTTTTTTACTACATTCTTCCTCCCTAATGTTAATGAACGTAGTCATTTAAATAATTAGGAGGTCTTCTGCTTCTGAAACTTCTTCTCGGATATGTGTTATGGTTCTTATTGGCTTCTTGTCTAGGTTGTAAATTCTCGGCAGTAGTATTCATTTCATCTTCTTGATTCTGTGTTGATGATGGACTAGGAAAGTATTCAGGTTCAGGTTGAGAAGTGGGTAATAGAGTATTTTCATCACTCTCAAAATCGGTTTGCTCTATGTCGGTTTGGTACTCACCAACTGGAGCAAGATGACGTGTAGACACGGTAGTTTCTCTTCCATCAGGCAACTTAACATGAGCATACTCGGCATTTCCGTGAAGAAGTTGGACCTCTTCAACAAGTGGCTCATACTTTGACGTACGATTGAATCTCTTCAAGTACACAGGGCCGGAATTGAGAAGCCATGAAGGAGCTGAAACACCATTGTTCCCAGATCTACGTGGATGTAAGAACATCCGCTCGTGAGGAGTTTGATTTGTGGCTGTGCAAAGTAATGATCTCACTGAGCTAAGGGCATCCTCTAAAACTGTCTCCCATTGGTTTATTTCTAAGTTAAGTGATTTCAATGCCAGTTCAATTGTTTTCCATAGAATGCCGTTATACCTTTCTACTTGCCCATTACCTGCTGGATTGTACGCAGTGGTTCTACTAGTTGAGATTCCAAGTGAGTTCAAGTAGCTTTTTAGGTCTTGGCTCAGAAATGATGTTCCTCTGTCCGAATGTATGTAACTAGGAACCCCAAAAGTAGAAAATAATGTTTTTAGTTTTGACTTAACTGTTGACGACGACATGTCTGAACACGGGAAAGCGAAAGGGAACCGTGAAAACTCGTCTACTATTACTAATAAGTAACGGTTTCGACTTGATGAAGGCAGTGGGCCTTTGAAATCGATATTCAGACGTTCAAATGCAGAAGTGGCTTTAATCAAAATCCCTTTGTGTTTGAAGAATCTAGGCTTCACAGCAGCACACACATTGCAGGAGTTTGTTATTCGTCTGATTTCATCAATCGAGTAGGGCAAGTTCTTACTCCGAACCCAGTGGTACAAACGTGTCACACCTGGGTGACATAAATTGGCATGTAAATCAATCAACAGTTTTTCTTGATTTTGGATTGAAGAACATACTCTAGTCAGGGCATCTGCAGCCATATTATCTTTACCGGGTCTATATACAATATCATAATGAAAGCACGACAATTCCAATTTCCACCTCATTATCTTTTCATTTTTCACTTTGCCATGACGGTTGTTATCGAACATAAAAGAAACCGACCTCTGGTCAGTAATCAGTTTGAAATGTTTACCAACCAAATAGTGACGCCATTTCCGCAGTGCTTCCACAATAGCTTGTGCTTCTTTTTCGACACTTGAATGTCTTTGTTCTGCTGGAGAAAGTATCCTTGAGAAGAATGCAACTGGACGGTTCGATTGAGTCAAAGTAGCAGCAATGGTACTCTCAGATGCATCAGTTTCTACGATGAACTGTGCTTCAGGGTCAATGCAGCTTACTACAGATCCGATGATTTCACTTTTTATAGCTTCAAAAGACTGGAGCCCTGCTTTGGACAAAGGGAATGTAGTACGCGCAAGTGGAATCACTTTGGCAGCATAATCTGGTATAAGTGATGCATAATGTGAAAACATACCAAGGGTCCTCCTCAGTGATGCGGTGTCTCTGGGCGGAGGTAAATTTTTCAAAGGATCTAGTCGACTGGGGTCAGGCTTGATAGTTTTGTTTGATATATGATAGCCCAACAAGTTGATCGATCGCAGTGAAAATGAAGACTTCTCATTATTAATAGTTAGATTGTATTTGGATGCAGCTTCGATAAACTTTTTTAAGTTTATATCGTGTTGTTCTTGTGTTTTTCCACAGATTGTAACATCGTCAAGATAGGCGTAAGTGTCTTGTAACTGTTCTGTTCGGATGACTTGGTCAATTACACGTTGGAATGCTGCCACCCCATTAGTGACCCCAAACGGGATACGCTTAAACTGGTAGAGTTGACCACAGGCCTCAAAAGCTGTGTAGTGCTTTTCTTCATTTCTTATCTTAACTTGGTGGTACGCACTTTTCAAGTCGATAGTACTGAAAAACTCATAATTTGCAACTTTGTTAACGATATCATCGATTCTAGGTAGTGGGTAAGCGTCCAGTAATGTAAAACGATTTATAGTTCTGGAGTAGTCAATGACCATTCTTTTTCTATGATTTTCAGTAGTAACTACTAATGCTTGAGCCCTCCATGGAGACATACTAGGCTCTATAACATCGTCTTTGAGCAATTTACTTACTTCGTTTTCAATAAACTTTAAATCATTGGTGCTATGGCGATGATACTTGATTGCGATTGGCTTACATTCCGGTTTTAAATTAGAAAACAAAGATACCGGTTCTACAGTTGAGGCTGCCACGCTACATACGGTTAGTTGTGACTTGTTACCACCAAAGACTACTTTAATACTTGCATGGTTTTTCAAAATATCATGTCCAACAATTATGTCTGCACAAAGATCTGGTAACAATGAAAGATTAACTTGCTTGTAAAAGTGATCAAGAATGACAAGATTTACTTTGCATTGACCTGTTATGTCGGATGTGATTGATGTAGTAGCCATTGAGACAGTACCCCTACCTGGTTTTATAGGAATACCTAAATTAAGAGCAGTAGATTTGTTTATAAAACTTAGAGAGCTTCCCGTATCTATCAAAGCAGAGACAGATTTACCATTAACTAGGGCTTGTACTGTACTCTTTGTTAACCCACCGGGCGAAGCTGCTAGGTCAATAGAGTTCATTACTTCTTTAGATTTATCCAATTGCTTGTTTTGTAGTTTACCTGCCCTGCAGACCTTAGCAAAATGCCCCTGTTTACCACAGTTATGACAAATTGTATTTTTAGCTGGACATTTGACCCTAGGATGTCTTAGATTACCGCAAAAGAAACATTTTTCAGTCACAGCAGCTAGAGAACACTTTTCTAAACTGCTTGAAGTTGCTTCAACATTCTGATTGCTAGCTTGAGTTTCTTGGGACGAAGTTGCATTTACTATAGATTGGAAAGCTAATGATTGCTCATGTGCAAGTTCTAGGGATCTGGCTTGACTATATGCCTGATCTAGGGTCAACGAAACATTTTCTAGTAAGCGCTGGCGAATTGCTGAAGATTTTATTCCTGCAATAAATGTGTCACGGATATAATCATCCCTATTCTTTTCAGCTGTGACAGCTTTAAACTGACAGTCTTTACTTAGTAATTTTAAAGCCTGGAGATATTGGTCAATAGTCTCCTCAGGTTGCTGCTGACGTGCAGATAGTTTATGTCTGGAATATATTTCATTTACAGGTTTTACATAGATACTTCTTAGCACAGATATAGCATCGTTATACGTACCGCTTTCACTTATGTACTCGTCGATTTCCGGAGTAATAAAGTTTATAAGTATTTTGAGTTTATCGGAGTCGGATGGTTGTGGTGTGATGCTGGTAACAAAATTCTGAAACGTTTTGTGCCAATGTGTCCATTCCTTACTTGCAGATGATGAGTTTGGATCTACACTAAACTTGTCTGGCTTTAGGATCGTATTCATTTCACAATATCAAGTTATTAAAATTGTAATGAGAGTAAGAACGAATGAAAAAGAACTTTTATTACCTTTAGAAAGGTTTTTAATAACTTGAACAATACTACATTGAATTATAATGGATTTGTTTACAAACACAACAAAACAATAATAAAGAATTGAAGACACATGTTTTTTTACTACAGATGCAAAGGATTTACAACATGTAGTGCAATTATAGGGCCAGTCTCCTGTATGAAACAATAAATGTTGCTTCATTTCATATTTGGTTGCAAATGATTTTTCACATGTACAACACTTGAAAGGTCTCTCTCCTGTATGGACCAATGAATGTCTCGTCATATTGTTCTTAGACGCAAAGGATTTGTCACATGTAACGCACTTATAGGGTCTCTCTCCTGTATGAACCAATGAATGTGTCTTCAAGTGTACTTTTAATGCAAAGAATTTTCCACATGTAGTGCACTTATGGGGCCTCTCACCTGTATGAACCAAAAAATGATTCTTCATCGCATTTTTCGTTGTAAAGGATTTTCCACATGTAGAACAAGTATAAGGCCTTACTCCTGTATGAACCAATGCATGTATCTTCAAACTTTCTTTCGATGCAAAGAATTTTCCACATGAAGTGCACTTATATGGCCTCTTTCTTGTATGAACCGTTGCATGTTTTTTTAGGTGGTATATTGATGCGAAGGATTTTCCACACGTAGTGCACTTATAAGGCTTATAAGGTCTCTCTCCTGTATGAACCATTGCATGTGTCTTTAAGTAGCCTTTTGATGTAAAGGATTTCCCACATGAAGTGCACTTATAGGGCCTCTCACCTGTATGAACCAAAAAATGACTCTTCATCACACGTTTCGATGTAAAGGATTTTCCACATGTAGAGCAAGTATAAGGTCTCTCTCCTGTATGAACCAATGCATGTGTCTTCATATTGCCTATTTGTGCAAAGGATTTTCCACACGAAGAGCACTTGTAAGGTCTCTCTCCCGTATGAACCGATGAATGTTTCACCATATCGGTTTTGGATATAAAGGATTTTCCACATAAAGTACACTTATAAGGTCTCTCTTTAGTATGAACCATTGCATGTCTCTTTAAATGGCCTCTTGTTGCAAAGGATTTTCCACATGTAGTGCACTTATAGAACCTCTCTCCTGTATGAACCAATGAATGTGTCTTCATATTGCCTATTTGTGAAAAGGATTTTCCACATGAAGAGCACTTGTAAGGTCTCTCTCCCGTATGAACCAATGAATGTTTCACCAAATCGGTTTTGGATATAAAGGATTTTCCACATTCATTACACTTATAAGAACACTTCCTAATGTGTACCAACAAATGACGCTTTACATTGTTTAGTTGTAAAAAGGTTTTCTCACATATCAAACATTTAAAAGGGCGTTCTCCAGTGTGATGTAACATATGAACCTTCATGGTAAATAGAGTTGAACAGATTTTCTCACATATTAGACACTTGAGAGGAAAGTTTTTAGTGTGAGTTGACTTATCTAGTCTTGCACGTTTTATGTCTGTGAAACTCATCACGTAAATCTGCTACGTAATCAAGAAAGTAAACAAATCAGAGGAGTTTGAATGGATTTTAAGTAGTAAACTTGTGCTGAAGGACTTCTTAAATGTATAACAGATACATTATAGGCTACTGTTCTCATTTGACATTGAATCTTCTTGTAGTCAAATCTTGCTATGCATGTTAGGTATTTTACAATACTCTTGAGTTAATTTCCTTCTTCTCTTGTTTCTCTGAATTCTTCTATTGCTATATAAATTTATCATAATTATCTCTTTTTTTTGGTTCCTTTTCTGTCTCAACCTACAACAAAAAAGTGCAATATAATTTAAATTCTAGTTTAACAAAATTAATTACTGTATTTATTGTGTTTAAGGGAAACATAACATCTAGAGCGGTTCTTTAAAGTATTAAATCATGGTTGTCTTAATCTTCTTTTGCTTAAATTAGATTATTTTTTCTTATGTCTGTTTTTCATCTGTTTCCCTTTTGAATATCATACTTAATTAAAAACATTTATTAATCCATTTACATAGTATAATATAGTAGGCTAGTATAATATAATAATATATACATATAATAATTATAGGTATAAATATTAAATATATACATTTTTCTATTGTATATCATGCGAGTTTAATAGTGTCCAGGATACGAGAACCCCATCAAAGATCAAATAAGTTAGGAGCCTAACACTGCCTAAAGAGCTAATGACTGCCAAAGAGATTTTTTTCCTTTTCACGTAACATTGCTCAAGTTCACGTTATCCCTTGCGTGTGAGAAAATAATTGGGTATCTTGAAACCGAAAATGGACATCCATTCAGGTTCAGGGAGTAGCCAAAACGTTAGTAAGGACAAATAGTATCGGTACATTAAACCCACAAATTAAGCCTATTTTAGTAGCTTTGGTGGATTATTCATACAGGTCTGTAACAAAAAGGATAGGGTTTTCAATAGTGTGTACTTCTAGGATAAATGTATAAAAATGTTTGGCATGGTATGCTGCGTGAAGTATTGGCAGTAGTGCTGTTTGTTGTCTTGGTTTGCAGTGATTATTGTTTCCATTAAAAGTATGAGGTATAGAATTAAGTTAAAACTGTTTGACAGTGCTTATTGTAAATAGATGGCTGAAATAAATCTTAAATCTAGATTCTTAGCCTTAAAAACCTATTCTGTAAAAACAAACTTGTAATACTGCAATGGTTTCACATTGTTCTATAATTATTTTTTATTTACGGGTTTTCAAAAAATTGTAATCTGATCGTTTAATTGGTTGTTGTAGTGACAACTAAGATCGATTCTTATGAGGCCTAAAAGGTGTCATCAAGTAATCGCATAATTTAAAGGTCGTCATCAGAGCTTATTAAAAGACACGACACGCGGAAACATTAAACACACTTTTACAAAAACAGAAAACAAACGAAGGCGCAAAATACATTAATCCTGAGGCAAAACTATTATTTTTCTTATCACTTGTGAATGTGAGACTACAGCGAAGCTTAATACGACTTTATTGCCACTTGCCAATCAAATAATTATTAACCTAGTTTTAGAGCAAGCCTCCTGCCACAGGGTTGCAGTACCGATCACAGATGCATTAACGCTACATACCGTCACACATTGGTACCCACTGTACCGTTCTAATCAGTAGAATGTTGTTCAATCAATAATTTTACTCTATTAACTATCATTGTTTTGTACAGTATGTTTAAGTTTCATTACTGAGTTTCAGACAGAACATTTTATTTTTAGACCTTAATTTGAACAACGTTGAACAAACAGCTAAAGCTAATTTTACGCAGTAGCTACTCAAGCTGTAAAACATATTTAATTACCACAGATCTAGAAATCTGCAGGCAACAGTACCATTTTTTGACGGGATTTCGTAAAGATTTTACTAATTTCCCGTTGCAGAAACAATGCGTTAATGTTTTTATTCTATAATCAATGGCCTTAATGTAAATACCTTGAACTATGGAAAGGGTAAATAAACATATTAACATAATAATAAACATATTGTTTTTGCAACAGGGAATGAACCTGACATTTCTAAGGAAATATGTTTGTGAAAATTAAATATAGCCTAATGACATTCCCTATGATGCCCCATCCATATAAGGGAGATTATCTATTTAACACTGGAGGTCGTCCTGTGGTTAAAATCTCGGTCAATAATATCTGTGTTTATATTTTAAATAGAATAACTAAGTTATTATAAAAATATGCATATTAACTATCATCTTAGCGGCAAGTTCAAAAAAGTTTAATAACTTTTTAACACAATTGTAAAAAACTTGGAAAAAATTAATGAAGGGAACTAAAAAATGTGATTTGTTCCTAAATGGAGACAAAGAAAGCCAGAAAAATTATGAGATTGCCAATAACACATAAGGCTTACAATTTATGATAAATAATTTATTTGCAGTCATTGAGAGCTTCCCAAGTTTACCTATATTACTTAACGCTCAAGGGTGGGGCTGGGCGTTACATGGTTATGGTAATGCACAAATCTGTTAAAGTGCGAAAATGATTAAACTATTTAAGAATGAGTCACACTTAAGACACCTACACACATAAGAACAGTTTTACATACAATTGCTGATTCTTAAAAAAAATTGTTTTATTGCTTACAAATAACACTTTGTGTCAGATGAAAAAAGTGCTTTAGTGGGTTGTAACAACATAACAGGCAAGTTATAACGAGAAAAATGTCTTATTTTATTAGTTCAAGTATTGAAAAAAGACATTATACAACCTACATTCTGTGACCTACAAGATGCTTAGCTTATGCTGTTTAGATATTTTGCTAAAATAAACTGTAAAGTTTGTTCTACAAATGTTGTTTAATTTAAAACATTATTTAAAAAAAACAATGTTAAGCAATTTTTCCCCTTTAAAAACCTTTATTGTATTCATGTGAGTTTTTAGTTCATTTAAATGAATAACTGTAAATTGAATAAATGTATAGTTTCATTTAATGTTATATGATTCTTCAAAGGGCTTATAAATGCAAGGTATATCTCCATTATGAATCAATAAATTTCTCCTTATTTCAAATTTGGTTTCATAAGTTTTCCACATGACGTGCACTTATGCGGTCTCTCTCCTGTATGAATCCTTGCAATATGTGTCTTCATAACGGTGTTAGACGCAAAGAATTTTCCACATGTAGTGCACTTGTAAGGTCTCTCTTATATACGAACAAATGAATGTCTGTTCATATCGTTCTTAGAGGCAAAGTATTTGTCACATGCAGTTCACTTATAGGGCCTCTCTCCTGTATGAACCAAAAAATGTGTCTTCATCACACGTTTCGTTGTGAAGGATTTTCCACATGTAGAGCAAGTATAAGGTCTCTCTCCTGTATGGACCAATGTATGTGTCTTCAAACTTTCTATTGATACAAAGGATTTTTCACATGTAGTACATATGACATATTTCCTCTTCCTGTATGAACCATTGCATGTCTCTTGAAGTTGCCTTTTTTTGCAAAGGATTTTCCACATGTAGAACAAGTGTAAGGCCTCTCTCCCGTATGAACCAATGCATGTGTCTTCAAGTTGTATTTTATTGCAAAGGATTTTCCACATGAAGAGCACTTGTAAGGCCTCTCTCCCGTATGAACCAATGAATGTGTCTTCAAGTTAGCTATTGTTGCAAAGGATTTTCCACATGAAGAGCACTTGTAAGGTCTCTCTCCCGTATGAACCGATGAATGTCTCACCATATCGGTTTTGGATGTAAAGGATTTCCCACATAAAGTACACTTATAAGGTCTCTCTTTAGTATGAACCATTGCATGTCTCTTTAAATGGCCTTTTGTTGCAAAAGACTTTCCGCATGTAGTGCACTTATAGGACCTCTCACCTGTATGAACCAATGAATGTCTCTTCATATTGTCTATTTGTGAAAAGGATTTTCCACATGAAGAGCACTTGTAAGGCTTTTCTCTCGTATGAACCGATGAATGTCTCACCATATCGGTTTTGGATGTAAAGGATTTCCCACATAAAGTACACTTATAAGGTCTCTCTTTAGTATGAACCATTGCATGTCTCTTTAAATGGCCTTTTGTTGCAAAAGACTTTCCGCATGTAGTGCACTTATAGAACCTCTCTCCTGTATGAACCAATGAATGCGTCTTCATATTGCCTATTTGTGAAAAGGATTTTCCACATGAAGAGCACTTGTAAGGCCTTTCTCCCGTATGAACCGATGAATGTCTCACCATATCGGTTTTGGATGTAAAAGATTTTCCACATGCAGTACACTTATAAGATAGCTTCCTAATGTGTACCAACAAATGACTCTTTACATGGTTAAGTTGGAAAAAGGATTTCTGACATGTCAAACATTTAAAAGGGTGCTCCCCAGTGTGATGTAACATATGAACCTTCATGGTAAATAGAGTTGAACAGATTTGCTCACATATTAGACACTTGAGAGGAAATTTTTTAGTGTGAGTTGACATCTGTAGTCTTGTACGTTTTATGTCTGTGAAACTCATCACATTAAATATGCTACCTAATCAGGAAAGTAAACAAATCAGAGGGGTTTTATGTATTTTACAGAGTAAACTTGTATTGTAGGACTTCTTAAATGTATAACAGTAACAGATACATGATATGCTACCGTTCTCATTTGATATTGAATATTCTTGTAGTCAAATCTTGCTATGCATGTTAGGTATTTTACAATATACTTGAGTTTTTTTTTATTCTTCTTCTCTTATTTCTCTGAATTCTTTTATTGCATTATATAAATTTATCAGGATTATCTCTTGTTTTGATTCCTTTTGTGTCTCAACCTACAACAAAAAAGTGCAATATAATTTAAATTCTAGTTTAACAAAATTAATTTCTGTATTTATTGTGTTTAAGGGAAACATAACATCTAGAGCGGTTCTTTAAAGTATTAAATCATGGTTGTCTTAATCTTCTTTTGCTTAAATTAGATTATTTTTTCTTATGTCTGTTTTTCATCTGTTTCCCTTTTAAATATCATACTTAATTAAAACATTTATTAATCCATTTACATAGTATAATATAGTAGGCTAGTATAATATAATATAATATAATATAGTATAATATATAATAATTTATAAGTATAAATGTTAAATATATTAAGTTATACATTATTCTATTGTATATCATGCGAGTTTAATAGTGTCCAGGATACGAGAACCCCATCAAAGATCAAATAAGTTAGGAGCCTAACACTGCCTAAAGAGCTAATGACTGCCAAAGAGATTTTTTTCCTTTTCACGTAACATTGCTCAAGTTCACGTTATCCCTTGCGTGTGAGAAAATAATTGGGTATCTTGAAACCGAAAATGGACATCCATTCAGGTTCAGGGAGGACCCGAAACCTTTCTAAGGACAAATAGTATCGGTACATTAAACCCACAAATTAAGCCTATTTTAGTAGCTTTGGTGGATTATTCATACAGGTCTGTAACAAAAAGGATAGGGTTTTCAATAGTGTGTACTTCTAGGATAAATGTATAAACATTTTTGGCATGGTATGCTGCGTGAAGTGTTGGCAGGAGTGCTGTTGGTTGTCTTGGTTTGCAGTAGATTATTGTTTCCATTAAAAGTATGAAGTATAGAATTAAGTACAAAATGTTTGACAGTGCTTACTGTAAATAGATGGCCGAAATACATCTTAAATCTTGATCCTTAACCAAAAAACCTATTCTGTAAAAACAAACTTGTAATACTGCAATGGTTTACAATTTTTCTTTCATTAATTTTAGCGAATTTCTCTATAGGGAAGTTGCTGTTACCGTAGGTCTCATGGTAAGACTTAGGCCCGGGACCGATTTACTTTTTCATTTTGATGTCTCCAGAGGCCAAAAACACCATTCGTTCAAATTTGTATATATGTATATATATATAAATAGATTTATATAGTGTGTGTGTCCGTAAACACGATAACTTGAGTAATTTTCATCCGATTTTGATGAAATTTGGTTTGAAGGTGTAAGGCGGGAAAAACTTGAATGTGTTCGCGATCCAGCATGGTTTTATGGGGGGTTTATGGGGTAAAAATTGGGTTTTCTCACTTTTTACCCTCAAAACAAAAAATTCCCAATTTTTCACTAAACCTTCTTAAAGAGCTTAAAAAAACAAACAATTCAGTATATCAAAGTGTTTTTGTACGGTTGGTTACGGAGAAAACTAAAAAATGGTAAATTTAAAATTCCCATGTTATTCTTATTGAGAATATTGTAAAAAGTTGTAGTTTGCTTGTTTATGGATATCTTTTGATCGAACTTGGCAAATATATTCATTTTATACTAAGCGATAATTATTTTACTTAAAACACATACTTTATTAGTTTCCTTGTAGCAGCAAACCTAGGTACTCGTTAAACCTAATGTTATTTAAATAGATCAATTGAAACTCAATTCAGCCAAATGGAAATTCGCTTAGACGGCAGGTTTGCTGCGGTGGGGGTATTTATTTATTGTTTTGTCAAAAAAATTGTAATCTGGTCGTTTACTTGGTTGTTGTAGTGGCAACTAAGATCAGTTCTAATGAAGACTACAAGGTGTCATCAACTAATCGCATAATTTACATGTCGTCATAAGAGTTTATTAAAAGACACGACACACGGAAACATTCAACATACTTTTACAAAAAACAGGAAACAAACGAAGGCACATAGTACATTAATCCTGAGGCTAAACTATTATCTTTCATATCGATTGTGAATGTGCGACTACAGCGCAGGTAGGGACGTTCCGATACTACCGATACCAGTAGGTATCGATACTTTGGGTCCGATACCAGTAGTATCGGTATCGGTATAAAAACGTTCGATTCTGTAGTGGTATCGATACTGAACACGGAGTATCGTAACATCGGTATCGGAAAAGCAGTTCTTAGAGAATTAGAAGTTCATTTAAGAAATACATTTTTGTTTTGAGTTCAATGGTCATGAATAATTATCTACATGTTTTTCGTGTAAATTACAATATAAAATATAGGTTACGGTTGAGATTTTTAAAAACTTCCCTTATTAGATTGACTTAATAGATTACTCCGCTGAACGCCAGCCACAATAGCCAGCATAAGTAAAAAATGTGCTTATGTGTTTACATTTGTTTAAATAAATAACACCTTTGTAATTATTATTCGCCTATTCACCTATCGGTTATGTTAGGTTGGGTTATTGATAAATTACTAGCGCTTTCATTTGTGCCGCTTATGAAAGTGCAACCTGCTTTTCAAGCTTTCGTTCTGTGCTCATTGTCCAGTTTATTTTTCCGATACTTTTGGTCCGATACTGAGATGGTATCGATACCACACTTCCGATACCATATCGATACCAAGTATCGTATCGAAAGCGGTATCGGAACGTCCCTAAGCGCAGGTTAATACGACTTTATTGCCTCTTGCCAATCAAATTATTATTAACCTAGTCTTTGGAGCAAGCATCGAGTAACAGTTCCCTGAAAAGCCGCGGGGCTGCAGCACCAATCACAGATGCATTAACGCTACCTACCGCCACATATTGGTACCCACTGTGCCGTTCAGATCAGTAGAATGTTGTCCAATCAATAATATTACTCTATTAAATATCATTGTTTTGTACAGTCACTCTGTTCATATACATCGACCCACCCCAGACTGAGCGACCTGTGGCCAGAGTGTAACAGTATATAGAAAGTTCCCTTTGGAAAGCAATTACGACCTTATAGGGCAACTTATGAAAAAAATGGGTAGTTTTGCGCAAGGGTGCGTCATGACGAATATTTTAAGTATATAGTTTTTGGGGGTGTGACTTGTAGTTCTCTCTTAAGTTAATGAGTACTTTGGGCTTTATATATGGATATTATTGCAATAAATACCGACAATATTTAACGACATATAAACAATAAATAAGGAATATTTAAATAAAGAGCAATAAATTGTATAGGGGCTCAAGTATCAAGTTAGAAAAAAACATTGATTGTTTAAGCACTGTTAAAACTTTTTAGATACGAAACTATGTTAATATTGAGGTAAATTGATAATGATATAATTTTTTATAAAAATATGATACAGTATCAATGAAAGGGTTAATAATCTATATCTTTGCCATGTAGTCCATTTTACACAAGCATGTTAAAACACAAAAAACTTTAATAGTAAGGCGAGTGCCTTAAAAACTTCTACACTATTTACGCAAATGTCTCAAAGGGCAAATAGCTTGCCTCCAGAAAAAGATTCCAAGTCCTTCGTAAATACAGATAATGGACGACAATTAATCCAAAACTAGTGTCCTATAGCGAAGCTTTAAAATTGATGCTGTGATTTATATGTTTATTAATATACTATATCAATGCATATTGTCCAATCGTAAATACTAATGTAGACCATAATCCAAGACAGGACCTAGTAACTGGTTTACACCTAAACTTGCAAACATGGGAGAGTATCTCATTTACCTTTATGCAATATAGAAGACTAATGGTAATGTTAATAAATTCCAAGAAAGTTTACACAAAACTATGAATGAGGCAAGAGTATCTGCAAACGACAAACCTATATCCATAAAAGAGGAACTATATATATGTATGTATGTATGTATGTATGTTGTATATACCTTATTGACTCCGAAACCACTTGTCAGATGAAGTGAAACTTTCAGGCATTATTAAGCATTATTCAAGGATGGTTGGTGTGAAGTTTGGTGCGGATCCAATAAAAGGGCTCCACCCCAGAGGGTTTTAAAGGGGTCCAATGTCAGACTTTTGGAACTACAATGTTTACAAATAAATATAATTTAAAAGAAGATTTTTACTTTCACCAACTGTTTTGTAAGTTTGAATGATCACAACTGTATTAGTCATGCAATGAAATAGTTCCTCACTGTTTCCACAGAATGTAATACAGGAAACTATTTTACTTTTGGATAAGCCCCAATCGATGTACACCTGTCCACTCAACAATGTTTGAACTCTCCACTATTAAATATGTGAACATAAAAGGTTACGCCTAAAACTTATATATTTGTACACCTAATGAAAAAACAAAAATTATAGGCCCTCCATATAAGGGAGTTTATTTATTTAGTACGTAATAGAGGTCGTCCTGTGGTCAAAATCCCAGTCAAAAATATCTATGTACATATTTAAAATAGAACAACTAAGTTATTATGAAAAAATGCCTATTGCCTAGCATCTTAGTGGTAAGTTCAAAAAATTGTTATAACTTTTTAACACGATTGAAAATAACTTAGATCAATTGTTGAATGGAACAAAAAATGTGATTTGTTCTTAAATGAAGACGAAGAAAGCCAACATTTAATGAGATTACGAATAACACATTAGGCTTACAGTTTATGATAAATAATTTATTTGCAGTCATGGAGAGGTTCCCAAGTCTGCATATATTACTTAACGCTCAAGGGTGAGGCCGGGCGTTACATTGCCTTATGAGAAGGTGGAAGGGGTTTTCAAGACCGTTATGGTAATGCACAAATCTGTTTTCTTAAAGTGCGAAAATGATAAAACTATTTAATAATTAGTCACACTTAAAGAATCCTACACACAAAAGAGCAGTTTTACATAAAATTGCTGAGACTTTAAAAATAAAGTTTTATTGCTTACAATTAACACCATAAGTTCCTGATGAAAAAAATGCTTAAGTGGGTTGTAACAACATAACATGCAAGTTATAACGAGAAAAATGTTTTATTTTATTAGTTCAAGTTTTGAAAAAATACATTATACAACCTAGACTCTGTGACCTTAAAGAAGTTAAGCTTATGCTAATAAACTGTAAAGTTTGTTCTAAACATTTTATGTTCATTAAAACATTTATTTTAAAACACTATTTCAGCATTTTCCCCCTTCATAAACCTTTATTCTGTTCAAGTTTAGTTTTAAGTTTATTTAAATAAATTACTGTAAATTGAATGAATGTATAGTGTCATTTAATTTTATATGATTCTTCAAACGGCTTATAAATGCAGACAACTTTCAACATATAATACACTTAAATGTTGAGGGTGTAACTCCGTTATTAATTAATAAATTTATCCTTATTTCATATTTGTTTTCAAAAGATTTTCCAAATGAAGTGCTCTTATGAGGTCGCTCCCCTGTATGAATCTTTGCAATATGTGTCTTCATAACGGTCTTAGACTCAAGGATTTTTTCCACTTGTAGTGCACTTGTAAGGTATCTTTTATGTGTGAACCAATGAATGTCTCTTCATTTTGCTCTTGGACACGAAGAATTTTTCACATGTAGTGCACTTGTAAGGTCTCTCACCTATATGAACCATTGCATGTGTCTTCAAGTAACCTTCTGCTGCAAAGAATTTCCCACATGTAAAGCACTTGTAAGGTCTTTCTCCTGTATGAACTAATGAATGTCTCTTTAAGTTGTCTTTTGATGTAAAGAATTTTCCGCATGTAGTGCAATTATAGGGCCTCTCTCCTGTATGAACCAATAAATGTCTCTTCATCACACGTTTCGCTGTAAAGGATTTTCCACATGTAGAGCAAGTATAAGGTCTCTCTCCTGTATGAACCAATGCATGTGTCTTCATAGATCCTTTTGATGCAAAGGATTTTCCACATGTAGAGCACTTGTAAGGTCTCTCTCCTGTATGAACCAATGCATGTTTCTTCAAGTAGCGTTTTAATGCAAAGGATTTTCCACATGTAATACACTTGTAAGGTTTCTCTTTAGTATGAACCAATGAATGTTGCCTCATAACGCTGTTAGACACAAAAGATCTTTCACATGTAGTGCACTTATAAGGTCTCTCACCTGTATGAACCATTGTATGTATCTTTAAGTTGCCTTTTGATGCAAAGGATTTACCACATGTAGTGCACTTATAAGGTCTCTCTCCCGTATGAAGAAATGAGTGTATCTTCTTATTGCTCGAAGATGCAAAGGACTTTCCACATATACAACACTTATAAGGTTTCATCCCTGTATGAACCATTTTAATGTGATTCCTTATATTGCTGCTAGAAGTAAAGAATTTTCCACATATAGTGCACTTATAAGGTCTCTCTCCTGTATGGAGAAATGAATGTGTAATCATTTGGCATTTAGATGTAAAGGATTTCCCACATGCAGTACACTTATAAGAACACTTTCCATGGTGTATCAACAAATGACTCTTTACCTGGTGTAGTCGGACAAATGTTCTTTCACATGTCAAACATTTAAAGGGACGCTCTCCAGTGTGATATAACATATGACCCTTCATGGTAAATAGAGTTGAACAGATTTGCTCACATATTATACACTTGAGAGGAAAGTTTTTTGTGTGAGTTGACATATCTAGTCTTGCACGTTTTATGTCTGTAGAACTCATCACATAAGTCTGCTACGTAATCAGGAAAGTAAACAAATCAGGGGGGTTTTATGTATTTTAAAGAGTAAACTTGTGTTGTAGGACTTCTTTAATGTATAGCAGATACATGATATGCTACCGTTCTCATTTGAATTTGAATCTTCTTGTAGTCAAATCTTGCTTTGCATATTAGGTATTTTACAGTATACTTGAGTGATTTTTCTTTTTCTCTTATTTTTCTGAATATTTCTATTGCATTATATAAATTTATCAGTATAATCTCTTGTTTTGATTTCTTTTCTGTCTCATCCTACATGTCTCAACCTAAAACATAAAATAGTTCAATATAATTTAAATTCTAGTCCAACAAAATGAATTACTGGATTTCATGTGTGTAGGAGAATCCTTTAGAGGATAGATTTTGAGCGGTTCTTTAAAGTATTTTATCAGGGTTGTCTCAATGAGTTTTCTTTTGCTTAAATTAGATTATTTTTTCAAACTATTCACTTCTTAATAACATCAAACTTAATGGAAAACATTTATTAATCCGTTCACATAGGCTGAACAGTTTATCAATTCGCGAATATTGACAATATTCTGATCATTTCTACAAGCTCAAGAATAGTATAATGATACAAAATCAGGGCCTTGCTTTTTAGCAGAATATTGAATATAAAATCCCACTAACCAATACAAACTCCTCAAATTCTAACATTGTATAATCCGAAACACGCTTTGCTGAAAAAACTGTGCTGAGCCTATTTAAAATGAAATTTTGATTACAAACCAGGGTGTCTAGCCGGCCAAGAAATTAGGAACTGTAAGTGAGTTAAGGCGAAAAAAAAGTATGTAAACCATATTGTAATATGTTGACACATTGATTTGTGTTCTTTAATATGTTTAATTTATGCCTGCCTTCTTTATTTATTCTAATAGAACTAACACATGTTTTATTATTATATTATGATTGTAAATAATGTCCAAAAAATACACATCTATTTTTTGTCAAGTCTAAAAGTCTTGTCTGTCTTTAATATTTTTTACATTTGGTGCCGAAACCCGACTTTATCATGTCAATAAGGAGATCAGAGAGGGAAAGACACCCTCCAGACAGATATACTCCAGCAATTGGGAATAACAACGACAAAACTGTTAATCCAAAGCCAAGTAAAGACCAACCATCAGTATCTGCCAAATCTAGTACTTCTTCTAGTAGACGACGATTAATGGAAGTGGAGTTGAAGAAGCTAGAAGAAATACAGAAATTGGAAAGAGCCCATGAGGAAAGAGAAATGGAGCGACAACGACAAGTTGAAGAAATGGAGCGACAACGACAAATGGAAGCTAGAGAAGTAGAGCGACAGAAGCAACTGCTGACAGCGAGAGCTGAGCTTGAGTCTGCTTCAGTGTGTGGCAGTCAACAGTCAAGCCGCCCTAGTAATCGATCTGAAACCAAGGTAGGACTTAGCATAAATCTTGATGATGAGGAAGAACCGCAAAGCAAGGTTGAAAGGTGGTTGAATGAAAAAGAACCGACGGTTCTTAAGTCCTCATCAGCTATCATGACCTCAGCCGTGCAAAAGCTTGCGGATACCTTCCAAAAAGCTATACAGCCTGTTTTATTTCGTCAAAAACTTCCAAGCTTCAGTGGCAAGCCTGACGAATGGCCGATATTTTTTTCGGCGTATGAAAAAACTGCCTATCTTTTTAGTGAGGATGACAACCTCATAAGAGTAAGGAATTGCCTAGAGGGAGAAGCATTTAGAATGGTTAAGCCTCTTTTTGTCTTAAGTCAAAATCTTAAGTCAATTATCAAGACCTTACAGATGCGTTTTGGTAGACCAGAACTCATTTTGGAGTCAATGTTAAAAAAGACTCGTAGGCTAACTTCTGTCAAGGAAGACGACACTACAAGTCTTGTTGAGTTTTCGACAAATATTTTGAATTTTACTGCTACAGCAGAGTCATTACATCTAGAAAATTATGTATTAAACCCTTACTTACTAAATGAATGTCTCAACAAACTTCCCTATAGTTTAAAATACAGGTGGGCTGAGCATGTAAGTAATAATGCTCTAAGCAGTCCCGACTTGAAGGAGTTTTCCACTTGGTTGGAAAAACAATGCTCAATCCTGAGTATTTACTTTCGTCCTACAGAAGAGAAACTCTGGCAGAAGAAAACTGACATAAAGCCGGTTTATACCAGTTCTACCGAAGACAAACAGTTTAACTGTATGTTTTGTCTCGACAACCACAAAAGTGAACGATGTGGAGTTTTCAGGAAGGCAGATGTATCGCAGAGATGGAAAATGATTGTCGAAAAGAAACTATGTTTCTTCTGCTTTCGTGTCACGGTACATTTTTGCCCCGTACATCGTCGCGAGCGCCGCACCGAGCGGCCGCCTGCGCTAGCATTGATAGTTCTGATTTAATATGACAATTAAACCCTTTAATTGGTAAAATAAATAAATGTTGGGTAATATGTTGCCGTTATATATTATAATCATTTAAGATGTAATGTTTGTGGTTTGTTTGGTCAAGGTTGAAAGTGTAGAAACCGTTAAATCAATTATATCAATAATATTAAGGTTGAATTAAGTAATTGATGTTGACTTAAATTCTTTCAAAAATAATATAAACATTAATATTATTAAAGGCAATTAAAATGATCATTCTGTAACGTTATTTCAATGAATAAAACCAATAGAAATCAATAGATATAACTAAGCATCCTTTCTAGAATATTTTATTTTTGCGACAAGTTTTCAAAATGCGACTTTTAACAATAATTTTTCCCTTTTCCACGGCACTGCCTCCGCGCTCTCACTCGCACACACTCTCTATCTCTCTCTAAACTCCCTTTTGCCGCGCTCGGTAGAATTCGTCTGGTCTTGGTCATGTTCGGGGAAATGTACGGAGTAAAATTTTGCTGATATTTATCTCCCTTCTCCCTTCTCCCTGCTCGGTTCGGGGTCTTGATCGGGGAAAAGATCGATAGTGTGTCACCGCCTTTAATATGTTTAATTTATGCCTGCCTTCTTTATTTATTCTAATAGAACTAACACATGTTTTATTATTATATTATGATTGTAAATAATGTCCAAAAAATACACATCTATTTTTTGTCAAATCTAAAAGTCTTGTCTGTCTTTAATATTTTTTACACATATGTTCTTTTTGTATGGGACTGAGAAATGTTGACCAGAAGCCATCAGCCTATCGTTGAATCTCTTGTCTTGAATGTATTGTTGAATGAGTGGATATTTTTTAACAATTGCTGTGTGATATTTGATCTTCCTTGTCTGTTATTTCTCCATGCAGATGTGTGGTTTTTTTTAACGTCTGGCCACTCATTATTGAAAATGGAATACGGTGTATGTACTTTAAGAGGAGACTGATTACTACTGATAGGCTAGCTGATTTTAATTATTGTCTTTCAAATCTTAGCTGGTTAGGATTATATAACAACCGTGATATTGATGCTGCGATCTCTATGTTTATAAATATACTTTGTTATTATCTCAATGTTTATTGTCCAATCGTAAATAATAAATGTAGACCAAAAACCAAGCCAGGACCTAGTAACTGGTTTACACCTGAACTTGCAAACATGAGAGAATATATCATTTACCTTTATGACATATAGAAGACTAATGGTAATGTTAATGACAAAATGAACTTTAAAAATGCCAAAAAAGTTTACACAAAAGCTATGAATGAGGCAAGAATTTCTGCAAACAACAAACTAATTAATAAATCAACAAACAAATGCAAAGCGGCCTGGAAGATAGTGAGAAGTGAATCAGGGCAGAGCAAAGTACCGACTGAAATATGTCTTTCGCCTGACACCTTTAATGATTTTTCTTGTTAATGTACCAACAAGTATGACTCACAATCAGAACTCAAATGTACCAGACTATTATAAACTACTTAGTAATTTAAAGTTTACCACCAACTCAAATAAATTCTCATTAAAAAAAGTTGATATGAAAACTGTGAAATCAATAGTAACTAATCTAAGCTCCTCTCGCAGCGAAGATTGTTTTGGACTTTCGAACTACCTATTGAAGAATATTATAGACCCTATTCTAGTACATCTCACCTACATTGTCAACCTAGTATTAGTTACAGGTGTTTTCCCAAATTGTTTGAAGCAATCAATAATTAGCCCTATTTTTAAGAAAGGTAGCAGAGATTTACCAGAGAACTACAGACCAATTGCTATTGTCCCCATTATAAGTAAGATAATCGAAACTTGTTTATTTAGGCAAATGTATGATTATTTTACAAGTAACAATTTGCTTAGTACTAACTAATTTGGTTTCATGCCTAATTCTTCAACTACCAAGGCTGTAGAGAACATTGTAGATTATATCCTCAATGGTTTTGAAAACAATTTTGCCACAGGCTGTAGTATGTTAGACCTAAGTAAAGCTTTTGATATGGTTTCACATGTTATTCTTTGCAGGAAATTGGAGTATTATGGTATTAGAGATAAGGAACTAGCTTTAATTAGAAGTTACCTTAGCAATAGATCTCAAGTAGTTAAAGTCAATAATGTTTTTTCTCAACCAAAGTCAGTATTAGCAGGTGTTCCACAAGGCTCGGTCCTTGGGCCATTCTTATTCTTAGTTTTTATCAATGATTTTGCTGTACATGTTCCATGTTTTTCTGTTTTATATGCTGAAGACACAACTATTCTTGAAAAAGGTGTAAATATCCATAATGTTTTAAAGCAGCTTAGTTCCTCAAAAGATTGCTGCAAAGTTTGGTATGGTGCAAACTACCTACTCCTGAATGAAAATAAAACTGAAAACATTCTCTTCACACTCAAAAATAGTATTAGTCATGAATATGAAGATCTTTTAAAACCTGTTAAGCTGTTAGGAATTGTGTTAGACAGCAAGTTAACCTGGAGTAGCCATATTGACCTTGTATGTAAAAAAACTTGCTAGAGCTACTTGTTTAGTGAGGAAACTCAAACAGTGTGTCAGTTCTGATGTATTATTAATGGTCTACTATGGTGTTTTCAATTCTCATTTGAACTATGGCCTGCGCTTATGGGGAAATAGCACTGATGCAAAAAGAGTATTCATATGGCAAAAGAAAGTCATTCGTTGCATGGTAGGCTTAGAAAACAATCAAGAACATTGTACAGATAGTTTTATTAGTCTTAAAATAATGACGTTACCATGTATGTATATTTTTTGTAATCTGGTTTATGTTAAGGAAAATATAGTTAATTTTAGTGAACAATGTAATCAACATGAACACAGCACGAGAAACAAACACAATCTTGTAACACCTTACATTCGCCTTCACAAATCATTTAGAAGTCACAGTTACCAGCAATTTTTGTTATTTAACAAGTTACCATTAGTTGTAAGAAATCTACCTCTTGTAAAATTCAAAGAAACTATCTCAAACTGGCTAAAACAAAAAGCATTTTATAGCATTGAAGAATACCTTAAATGTACATTTCAGACTTAGACTAGAAACTTAAGATTTTTTGTACTAAAACTATTTGACGAAGCCTATTGTACGCTAATGTATTCCTGTACATTGTATTTAATGGCCAATAAACTTCTTGATTCTTGATTCATATTAATCCAAAACTGTTCTAAAGTCAATGGTACATCTGTTCCTCGTAAATGAGATTAAATACTTGCAGTATCCAATATCAATGGTATATTTGGTTCACAAAAATGTAATGACTATTTGCAGTATTCAAAGTCAATTAATTATAAGTCTGGTTCACGTAAATGAACTGTCTACTTGCAGGAACTAAAGTCTATGTTTCATCTGGTTCTCATACATTAAATGTCTACGTGCAGTATCCAATGTCAATAATGCATTTTGGTTCGCAACATGGTGGAAGCTTCCACCACGGGTTCGCATAAATAAAATGCCTATTTGCAGCATCCAAAGTCAATGGTACGCCTGGTTCACTTAAATGGAATGTCTATTTACAGGTAGATGGTACGTATGGTTCACGTAAACGAATAGTGTACTTGCAGTATCTAAACTTAATAGTAGGCTACATTTGGTCCACGTAAATTGTCTTCTTCCAGTAACCTAAATCAATGGTACCTGCTTCACATAAATGAGAAATCTACTTGCAGGATCCAAAGCAATGGTTCATTTGATTCACATAAATGAAGTGCCTAATATAATATATCAAAAGTCTAAAGCTATATCCAAAGTCAATGGCACGTCTGATTCACGTCAATGGAATGTCTACTTGCAGTATCCAAAATCAGTGGGTATCTTTGGTTTACATTAATGGAATTCCTAATTGCAGTATCTATTCAAAGCCTGCATTACTGAATGGTATGTCTATAGTTCACATCAATGGAAACTATTTGTTCTTAAATAGAGAGTAAGAAAGCCAAACAATTTATGAGATTGCCAAGAACACATTAGGCTTACAATTTATGATAAATTAGCTATTTGCAGTCATTGAGAGGTTCCCAAGTCTACCTATATTACTTAACGCTCAAGGGTGTCGCTAAGCGTTACATGGCCTTATGAGTAGGGGAAAGGGGTTTTCAAGACCATTATGGTAATGCACAAATCTGATTTCTTAAAGTGCCAAAATGATAAAATTATTTAAGAAAAAGTCACAATTAAGACACCTACACACATAAGAACAGTTTGACATACAATTGCTGAGTCTTTAAAAATAAAGTTTTATTGCTTACAAATAACACCTTAAGTGCCAGATAAAAAAAAGTGATTAAGTGGGTTGTACTAACATAACACGCAAGTTATTATGAGAAAAATGTTTTATTTTATTAGTTCAAGTATTGAAAAAAAAAAACATTATACAACCTAGACTCTGTGACCTAAAAGAAGTTAAGCTTATGCTGTTTAGATATTAGCTAAAATAAACTGTAAAGTTTGTTCTAAACATCTTGTGTTCATTAAAACATTTATTTTAAAAAACAATTTCAGCATTTTCCCCCTTCATAAACCTTTATTCTGTTCAAGTTTAGTTTTTAGTTTATTTAAATGAATTACTGTAAATTGAATGAATGTATAGTTTCATTTAATTTTATATGATTCTTCAAACGGCTTATAAATGCAGACAACTTTTAACATTTAATACACTTAAATGTTGAAGGTGTAACTCCATTATGAATGAATAAATTTATCCTTATTTCATATTTGTTTTCAAAAGATTTTCCAAATGAAGTGGTCTTATGAGGTCTCTCTCCTGTATGAATCTTTGCAATATGTGTCTTCATAACGGTCTTAGACTCAAGGATTATTTCCACTTGTAGTGCACTTGTAAGGTATCTTTTATGTGTGAACCAATGAATGTCTCTTCATTTTGCTCTTAGACACGAAGGATTTTTCACATGTAGTGCACTTATAAGGTCTCTCACCTATATGAACCATTGCATGTGTCTTCAAGTAACCTTTTGCTGCAAAGAATTTCCCACATGTAGTGCACTTATAGGGCCTCTCTCCTGTATGAACCAACAAATGTCTCTTCATCCCAAGTTTCGCTTTAAAGGATTTTCCACATGTAGAGCAAGTATGAGGTCTCTCTCCTGTATGAACCAATGTATGTGTCTTCATACATTCTTTTGATGGAAAGGATTTTCCACATGAAGAGCAAGTATAAGGTCTCTCCCCTGTATGAACCAATGAATGTTTCTTCAAGTTGTCTTTTGATGTAAATGATTTTCCGCATGTAGTGCAATTATAGGGCCTCTCTCCTGTATGAGTCAATGAATGTCTCTTCAATTTGTCTTTTGATGTAAAGGATTTCTCACATGTAGTGCAAGTATGAGGTCTCTCTCCAGTATGAACCAATGCATGTCTCGTCATACATCCTTTTGATGAAAAGGATTTTCCACATGAAGTGCACTTATAAGGTTTCTCTCCTGTATGAGCCAATGCATGTGTCTTCAAATGGCTTTTTGATGCAAAGGATTTTCCACATGAAGTGCACTTATAGGGCCTCTCTTCTGTATGAACCAATGCATGTGTCTTCATATTCCCTTTTGTCGCAAAGGATTTTCCACATGAAGAGCACTTGTAAGAACACTTCCTAATGTGTACCAACAAATGACGCTTTACATGGTTTGGTTGGAAAAAGGTTTTCTCACATGACAAACATTTAAAAGGACGCTCTCCAGTGTGATGTAACATATGAGCCTTCATGGTAAATAGACTTGAACAGATTTGATTACATATTAGACACTTGAGAGGCAAATTTTTAATGTGATTTGACATATCTAGTCTTGCACGTTTTATGTCTGTGAAACTCGTCACATAAATATGCTACCTAATCAGGAAAGTAAACAAATCAGAGGGGTTTTTAAGTATTTTAAAGAGTAAACTTGTGTTGTAGGACTTCTTACATGTATAGCAGATACATGATATGCTACCGTTCTCATTTGACATTGAATCTTGTAGTTAAATCTTGCCATGCATGTTAGGTATTTTACAATATACTTGAGCTATTTTCCTTATTCTCTTGTTTCTCTGAAATCTTCTACTACATTATATAAATTTATCAGAATGATCTCTTGTTTTGATTCCTTTTCTGTCTCAACCTACAACAAAAAGAGTTCAATATGATTTAAATTCTAGTTTAACAAAATGAATTACTGTATTTATTGTGTTTAAGGGAAACATAACATTTAGAACGGTTCTTTAAAGTATTAAATCAGGGTTAACTTAATTATCTTTTGCTAAAATTAGATTATTTTGTTTATGTCTGATTTCATCTGTTTTCCCTTCTGAAGATCACACTTAATTAAAAACATTTATTAATCCGTTCACATAGTATAATATAGTAGGCTAGTATAATATAATATAATCTATATAATAAATACGCGAACACGAAGTTTGTCGGTTGAATTACTTCCCCATTTCTTAACCGATTTTATCCATTGACGTCTCATTGGAAAGTGTCGCGTAGACTTGCAAACTGCCCTTAAATTTCTGAAAAAGTCCCTTGGGCTCTGCCCAATTGGCTTTTAAAGTTCCCGTGTTATCCTTATGGTGAATATAATTGTTTACATATGAATCAGCTGTATAATTTAATTGCTGTTATTTATTTTTCCATTCATTGAAACACATTTTTACGGATTTACACATTTACACATTTACTGATTTTGTTGAAATTAAATATTAACTATTTTAATTTACATTTGAACATATTAGAATGTAAAAAATCGAGAAGCCTGGACAATTGAAATTGTACTATATTTCTTGAGCAATCATTGAAAGAACCGATTTGTTTACCAAGAAAACATAAGTAAGTTGATGTGTCCATTCCAAATGTACTGGCTTATACTATATTTGTTAATTTACATAAAGTTCTGTTCAGTTGTTATTGTATATATGATGATTGTGATTAAATAAAGAAAAACTTGAGTTACTGCATTAAAATGTTACATTACTAAAATATCTATCAATGGCGACGAGAATAATGGAAGATTTAGAAAAAATAGCAGAAGATGTAAATAAAGTTAGGAAATTGAAATCATTGCGAAGAACAGTCAAGTTTCAGCTTGGAAATGTAAAGAAGTATGTGGACAAAGGATCATTTTCTATCAATGAAATTCAAACTAGACTTGATTTGTTAGCTGAGATTAAATCAAAGTATGGCCTAATTCAAGACAAGATCGACTTCTATACAGAAGAAGAAGATTTAGAAAACGAGCTAACTTACAGGGAAAGTATTGAAAACATGCTGATTGATACAAAAGCAAGATTAATGGATGCCCAATTACTTCATATGCCAAGTATTCAACATAGCTCTATTCCCAATCAAAATAGTTGCACCACTGAAAATCTACAAGCTAATACACCGATTCCAGTTCTTCCTACTTCAAATTTGAGCTTTACTCCTTACGATGAAAGGGAAAACTTTTCTAATTTTGCCAGAAGACTGGAGGTTTTTATGACTTTAAAAGGTATAAATGATCCTAAGTTAAAAACTTTTACACTTTTACATGCCTTGAAACCTCTTCTACATCAGAAACTATACGACCTATGTACACCAGACAATCCTATAAATAAAGAGTATGGGGAGCTTGTGACCTTGCTTTACAACTTTCTAGATCCTAAAAAAAGTATTTTGGCTTTACAACACACATTTATTAGTCGAATACAGGAAGAAGGAGAATCTATTTCAAACTTTGCTACAGAACTAAAAAGGTTGTCAACTAATTGCAAATTCAATTGCAAAGCTTGTGGAAAATCTGTATTAGACATGCTTTTACGACTACAACTCATACGTGGACTTAATGACAAAGACATTAAAACTCAGCTTTTACAGAAATGTGACCACAAACAATTTGTAGAAATTCTTAACACAGCTACTACGATGGAACTTTCAAAATTTGAAAGTACTTTGATATGTCAAAAGAGTGGAAACGTAGACATAAATCAAGTAAAGTTTAAAGCTAGAAATAATATTACATCCAATGAACAAATTCATAGACCTAGAACAAAATCATACAACACAGGATCTTATACAAGTACTGGTAGTAAATTTCGTGTAACAGATTTTGAGTCACTGAAAGGAAAATGCTACCGATGTGGGAATATATACCATAGAGCGAATGTTTGTCCAATGATTGATGAAACCTGTAACACCTGTGGAAAGATCGGACACATTTCAAGAGTATGCCTTAGTAAACATAAAAACAGTAAAGGGCAAGTTCATTACACTGAAAATAATGACATTTCTGAAGACAATATCCATGAAATTAATTTACTGTCTGACAAAAAGAGAGATGACAAATTTCACATTGATATAAAATTGGAAGGTAAAAACGTTACTTTTGAGTTGGATACTGGAGCATCACTTACATCGATTTCATATGAAGACTACAAAAGACTAATTCCTTCCAAAAGACTTTACAAGACTGGTGTAGAGCTGCGCACCTACACAGGGGGGATCATAAAACCTAAGGGGGTAACATACGTAAAATGTGACTATAAGGGACAGTGTTTCATGGGAAAAATCTTTGTCATTAATCAACATGTCGATAGGATTTTTGGGCGTGAATGGATGAGAGAAATAAAACTAGACTGGGGAGAAATAAAATCTATACACATGAATGAAACAAGGAAGCCGGAGCTGGACTCATTACTTGCAAAATATGAAGGTTTATTTGACAAAAACATAGGGTGTATTCCAAACTTTGAAGCAAAACTTAACTTGAAGGACAACTCAAGACCTATATACATAAGGGCCAGACAGGTTCCATATGCCATAAGGACAAAAGTTGAAAATGAACTCAGCCGTCTGGAAACCCAAAAGATTATCACCAAGGTAGACAACTCGGAATGGGGAACGCCTATTGTGCCTGTCATAAAACCCAATGGTGACATTCGTATCTGCGCTGATTTTAAAGTTACTTTGAACAAAGTCGTGAAAGACGAGAAATACCCAATTCCGAGGATTGAAGACATTTTTTCTACAATGAGTGGAGGCAAATACTTCTGTTCTCTTGATATAAGCAATGCTTATTTACATATGAAAATGGATGAAGAGAGTAGCAAAATGCAAACACTAAGTACTCATAAAGGGTTGTTCAAAGTAAATAGACTGATGTTTGGGGTTAAGGTTGCTCCTTCCCTGTGGCAAAAATTCATGGATTCCTTACTACAAGGTATGGATGGCGTACAATGTTTTTTCGACGACATTTTAGTCCAGGGGTCAACTTACGAAGAAACTCTTCTGAGATTAGAGAAGGTATTAGAAGTTCTACAGAAGCACAACTTACATTTGAATGGAGACAAATGTAAGTTTTTTGAAAAAAGTATCAAATACCTCGGGCACATTATTGATGAAAAAGGTCTACACAAAAGTCCTGAGAAAACTGTAGCGATTCAAAATGCTAGAAGACCTACAAATGTAAGTGAATTGAAGACATTTTTAGGCTTGGCCATGTACTACAGCAAATTTATACAAAACTACTCAACCAAAGTATATCCTTTGACAAGATTACTTACAAAAAATGCTAAGTTCATCTGGAGCTCTGATTACCCAACTGGATTACCCGCAGGGGGCCCACGCTTGCGTGGGTACGTGGCCTGGGCGACCACGCGGACCCTAGCTCTCCCAGAGGGGAGGTAATTGCCCGGTGTTGGAACCGGCACTTCAGGTAGGCCACAAGCTATGGACGACTGGACAAGCCAGCCTCTTTGGGTTGTACCCAAAGTGAGAGTACCCAGTGACATTCCCTCCATTCAGGGTGGTGGGGTGTTCAGCTCTGCTAGTGTTGATTAAGTTCATAGATCTTTCACCTGCCTGTAGCTTGTGGTTGTGACTGAGTTCTTCGGGCTCGTCCTACCTGTTGTGTTCGACTGACATTTTGTGAGGCATATCCTCGACTTTGGAAGTAGCCTCGTCCTGGGAGGTGAAATACCTAGCCCCCAAAGGGGAGGTAACTGCTCGGTGTTGGTATCGGCATTTTCAAGTAGGCCACAGACATGGACGACTGGGCATTGGGTCCCAGTGACATTCCTTTATCCAGGATGGAGGGGTGTTTAGCTCTAGGAGAGATGGAAGTGCATCATATTCTCTAACCTACCTGTGTCTATGGTTCTCTGGGCTTCGGCCTGCTTGTTGTGTGCGACCAGCATTCAGTGTGGCAAATCCTCGACTTTGGAAGTAACCTTTCCTGGAGGTGAAAACGGGCAAGTACCCGCAGCTCACGGGGACACTCAAGGGCAACGTAACTTTCCGCAGTGTGAGGGTAACGGTTTGTAGGCACTTATGCAAACCAATCCCTGTCTCTGAGCACGGACGGTATGGTTATCTTGAGCGTGGGGGGTTCTTCCCGGAACCTCAATTGAGTCAAGGGTGTCGCCACCTCTGGTGGATAGGTTCATCCGGGTGGGTCCCACTTCTATACCTGCCTCCTTTTGGGAAACCCTGATGGCCTGGCAGTGATGTTGGGTCTGACGGGCAAACGAAGTAGATCGGGTGCTGGGTCCGAGCCCGCCAGGGGTATCTGGGGATCTATCGCTCTGGTTATCTCTGGTTTCCCAGCAACTGGGTAAGGCCTCAATCGGGTAGTGGTGTAAATGGGAGGTTGGGGTTCCCCCCGTCAGCGTGCTGACGGTCCCCTTCCTTCTGGCTATTGATGGCGGGTTCGCCTGTCAGGGATTAGATAGGTCCCGAGTGTTACTTGCACTAAATGCGTCGGGGCGCTCTACCATGGACCTCTAGGTCCCGACCTAGTGGAACCCAGGTGGAGTGACGCTTAAACAAGTAGCCGGAAACCCTGGTTAGGATTGAGGGGCAACCCTCTTTCCGAAGGGTCTGCTTCGGCAGCCGGTGAGCCTGATGACCTTAAGTCATCCGCCCATGATGTGCAAAAGGTTGATGCGTAAGCTTCGGCCTACATCATGGGGCCCGGGTAAGTCTCACGACAGGTACCGGGTATGTAGTCAGGGGGCTTCGGCTCTCATGACAAATAATGTAATGTAATGTAATGGAGCTCTGATTGTGAAAATAGCTTTCAAAAAGTCAAAGAAGAAATAACAAGTGAACAAATTTTAACTCATTTTGACCCC